TCTTGGTGTTTTACCACAGCCATAGAAACCCTGAGACAACACTTCATCCCAATCATGCTGTCATTCTGATTGACAGAGAAATTACGACAGTTGTATGAGTTCCTTTTCTTGTTCTTGTGACCAGTTATCTGACAGGACGAATCGTAAAGGAAGAGGGCTTGTTGTGGCTCCTGGTTTGAGATAGCCAGAGCAGGAAGAGCATGGCTCTCAGTTGTGGCCAGTGTCTTATTCTCACGAGGCTTCTTTTCTCTTAGTTACACCTTTAAAGACAGCCTATAATATAAGCTGCTGGCAAAATGGGATGTCAACATGCAGAAGAATGAAATTAGATATTTTTCACTGTATGATCATCTCACTGTATTAAAATAAATTTAAATTTGATCAAGTGCCTAATTTAAAACCTGAGATGGTCTGGGCATGGACATGCACACCTTTAACCTCAGCACTTGGAAGACAGAGGCAGGTGGATTTCAATGAATTTGAGGCCAGCCTGATCTACATAGGGAGTTTCAGGCCAGCTGGAGTAACACAGTGAGACCCTGTCTCAAAAATAAAAGCAATGAAAATTCAAACCTGGTGTTATTGCTAAAGGAACATATAGGGATACTTGGATAGAGTCGTCAGCAAGAATTTTCTGAATATTTAACAAAGGAAGTAGCAAAGGAAGTAACCTTAAGAATTGACGAATAAAATTATAAAGCTTGCCACAGTGAAAAAAAAAAGTCAACAGAGCAAACAGCCCACAAAATGGGAGACAATTTTTACCAGCTCTACTGCAAACAATGGATAATAATTAGAATATAAAAGAGGTACAGATCCTCAACCATCCATCAGTAAATGAGCTAATAACTGAGTAGATAGTTCTTAAAAGAAAAAATACAGGTATTAATGATCACATGAACAATAAATATTTTTGAAAGTGCCCACCATCTTTTGCCTTTAGGGAAATGCAAATTATAACTGCTTTGAGATTCCATCTCACCTCTCTCAGAATGACTATCCTCAAGAAAACAAATTTCAACAAATGCTGACAACAGTGTGCGGAAAAGGGAACTGTCATTTACTGTTGGGAGTGGAAATTGGTACGGTCAGATAGAAGTAAATACGGAGGCTTCCCAAAAATCTAGAAGTAGAACTATCATGTGATCTTCCTCTTCCACTTTTCCACATGTTCCCAGCCTCTATATCCTACCACAGAAATACTTTGACATCATGTTTATTTCTGCTCTGTTCACAGTAACAAGGAAATAGATTCAGCTTAGATGTCCATTAATAAATGAATAGATAAAGAAAATATATGCACATTAAAATTTTTTATTCATCTGTAAAGAAAAATGAAATTTGCAGGAAAATTGACAAAACTAGAAACTATGTACTAAGTGAGGTAATCCAGGCCCAGAAAGAGAAATACCATGTGTTCTCTTTCATCTGCGGATCCTAGCTTCTAACTGTTAAATGTAAATATGTAGGTGGGAGTAGGTGCGGAGAGCCAGGGAACTAGAAGGGGCCGGCTCACAAGTCAGAAAAGAAGAATCTGAGGAAGCAGAGTGGCGAGTGAGGTAGAAGAGCAGATGGTCTGTGAAGGTGGAAGTCCGAGGGAAACTGTTGCAGAGGATATGGGGGATTGAGGAGTGAGGTGGGGCAGGGCAGGAGAATCAACCCAAACTAAGGCAGGATGAAAATGCACCAAGAAAAACTGTGTTTTGTAGGTTAATTTTTAAAAAGTTACTGTAAAAAAATAGATTTTTAAAAGTTTTGTTCCTGTGTAGAGAAATGTGAAATTTTCTATGCTGATGGTATTTGGATGTTGTTTTTATTTTGAACCATGTGTATGGTGTGTATTTTTGTGTGGGCATGTGTACAGACAATGCATGTTCTTCCTATTGAGTCTTCTCTCCAAGCCCCTTGATGTGATCTTTCATTCACTAGTCTGTTTTTTGCTTAATTATGTGGGTGTTTGTCCATACTTTCTCACTTTTTCCTCATACAGTTTCTGTCTAGGGATTCGTTTCTTCACTTCTACTTTGCATAGCTTTTATTTGTTTATCTTACCACACTGGTTAGCACTTGTGTAAGAACTTGGCTTGATGGTGATAGCAGATGCCCCAGTTCTGATTTTAAAGTGAATTTTTCCGACATTTGACCAGTTTCTTTTTGGGCTCTTTCTCCTCTTCTAAAATAGCTGGCAGCAGGTGGATTTTTTGGGTAGGGTTAGGGGAGACAGTAGTTATAATAAAGGGAAGATATCTTGATTGTAACCTAAAGTGGGGGTATTGCCTTGTATTTCACTAAAGAATTGCCTCTCAGTGGCACTACCTACCACTAGTTACATTTCTTACTTCTCTAAAATAGTAATTGCTCCGCCACAGTTACATGGTTCAGTATGTATAGGATTATTCGCTTTAACTTCCATGACTTCTGACCTCTGTGAATTGATAATGTTAAAAAAGAGAGGAATAGCCTCGCTTAAATCATTTCCCTCTTGAATTTAGCTTCTCATAGATTTCTGTTTTAGACTCGGTAGCTTCTGCCTTCCAGGAGTGAGATTACAGGGGTGAACCAAAACTCTGTTTTACTTCTGATATTTTCTTTTTTCTTTTTTTTTTTTTTTTTGGTTTTTCGAGACAGGGTTTCTCTGTGTAGCTTTGCGCCTTTCCTGGAACTCACTTGGTAGCCCAGGCTGGCCTCGAACTCACAAAGATCCACCTGCCTCTGCCTCCCGAGTGCTAGGATTAAAGGCGTGCGCCACCACCGCCCGGCTTACTTCTGATATTTTCTTTTGCAGGGCACTCACTAAGAACTGTCTGAATTTTGGGCTTTGAAGGGTAATGAGGAAAAATAGACTTTGAGGTATCAGCATTTCCATGCATCTTTTTACTGAGACTACTAACATGCCATTTGTAATCTGTTGCTGGCACTTAAATGAATTTTGAAAATTGCATTCACACATTAAAATACCTGATAGTTTATTTATAATTGTATCCATGTTAAAAAAAAAAAACACAACAGTTTTTTTTTTTTTTTTTTCAAGACAGGGTTTCTCTGTGTCATTTTAGTTCCTGTCCTGGAACTCACTTTGTAGACCAGGCTGGCCTGGAACTCACAGAGATCCACCTGACTCTGCCTCCTGAGTGCTGGGATTAAAGGTGTGCGCCATTGCTCCCCAGCTTTACAACAATGATTTTTACAGTTTTAATATTAACAGAAATAAAAATTTACTGCTTGCTAAGAGAATAATACCCAAATCAGAGACTAAAAAGAAAATACTGTCTTGTCTTTATCAGAAAACCAACCAACCAACCTACCAAACAAACAACACAAATCCAGTCTGGAGCCAGGGCATAGCTAGGTGGTAGAATACTGGCCTGTCATGAGCAAGGCCCTGGGTTTGATCCCTAGTACTATAAAAACACACACTCACTCCCCCACTCAACTCTTGTGCGCACACGCATAAAATCTCTTTAGAAGTCACATGAGTGATCTGATGAGACAGCTCAGTGCGAAAGGTGCTGCTGCAAGATGGTGGTGCTGAGCTTGATTTCCAGAACCACGTGGGAGAAGGAGAGAACTGAATTGAAAGTAGTCCTCTGACTTCCACACTTGTACCGTGGCTGGTGCACACATACATGCTCGTGCTGTCTTCCCCTCCCCTCTTTCTCTCACACAGAGTAAGAAAAATGCTGTAAAAATCATGAGTAGTGCTAAGTGAAAAATGACAAAATTGGAAAGATTTGTGGCATACACAGAAAGTAAAAGTTTCCTTTGCTAGTAATATTACATGAAGAATCACCTCCTTACTGGAATGCTGGTGTCTTAGTTACTTTTCTGTTGCTGGAGAAAATACCCCAGCAGTAGAAACGTAAAATGAGGAGGCTTGACTTTGGTTTACAGTTCGAGGTGTCGTGGATCACGGGAGGGAAGGCAAGGCAGCAGGGGTTTGAAACAGCTGGTCAGGTTGCCCCCACAGCTGGAGAGAAGAGAGGGACACGTCTCGCTAGCTTCCTCCTTTTCGTATACTCTAGAATTGAAGCCTGGGGAATGGTGCTGATCACTTGTCGTGTGGGTCTTTTCGCCTCAGGTAACCTCATCAGTCATCCTTCACTGGTATGCCAGGTGTCTTGTCTCCTAGATGATTCCAGATCACTTGAAGTTGACAGTTAACACTAACCATCGCTTGTCGATAAATTGGAAATAGTATACCAAAGAATTACATTCACAGAATCAAAGAATATAATGTTACTTTGCCAGGGTTTGAGAAAAAGGAACTATGGAGAGCTATTTACCAGTGTCCATAGATTTTCAGTGAAACAAGATGAGAAAGATGTAGTTCAGCAGTGTACCTGCAGTCAACAACAGCATTTTAGACCCTTGAAATCCTTAGGAAGATAGGGTTATGTTAAGAAGTTTTACTTTTTGCTTAGTATGCATCACTTTGGCCTCAAACTTGAGATACTCCCGCCTCAGTCTTCCAAATACTGATATTATAGACATGTACTGTTATGCCTGGTTTTGGTGTTTGTGTGGTGTTCATGAATTTGTGTGGGTGTATGTATGATACTGAAGGTTAAATTATAATTAAAAAATATATATTAACCACTCATTAAATACTAGTACTTGCTAATTAATGTTTGCAATAATTAAAAACCATCTTGTGTTTTGAAATAAATTTTGTTTTTATTCCTGCTGATGTAGTCTACCCTCTCCCTTTACAATACCTTCTGTTAAATTTTGAGGAGTCTAGATTTTATTGTGGTTTATAAAACTAAAGGGCTGCCATGCTTATTTTCCTGGTAGGAGTAAGCACAAATTAAATTGCTGATAATTGTGGCTTATTACCAAAATTTTAAAATTTGAATGAAAAGAGGATAAGGTAAATCCTAATTTGCTGAATGCAGATTTCTGAGAACCCTTAGAGCTATTTTTAGCTGCTTGCAAGCTGCTCTGTCTTTGCTAATTGAGGGGAAAGCTGATTTTGGGTGTTTTTTTTGTGATGTTCCCAGCACATGCAGATGACGATCCAGGCTCTCCAGGATGAGTTGCGGATTCAGAGGGACTTGAATCAGCTGTTTCAGCAAGATAGCAGCAGGCCTGGAGAGCCTTGTGTGGCGGAGCTGACAGAGGAGAACTTCCAGAGGCTGCACACTGAGCACGAGCGGCAAGCCAAGGAGCTCTTCCTTTTGCGGAAGACCCTGGAGGAAATGGAGCTGCGGATTGAAACGCAGAAGCAGACCCTAAGTGCTCGGGATGAGTCCATTAAGAAGCTTCTGGAGATGTTACAGAGTAAAGGGCTGTCTGCCAAAGCCACGGAGGAAGACCACGAAAGAACAAGACGGCTAGCAGAGGCAGAGATGCACGTCCACCACCTAGAAAGTCTGTTGGAGCAAAAGGAAAAAGAGAATAATATGTTGAGAGAGGTGAGTGACTGCCTTTTCAGTTGGAATTTCCTGATTGTCTTTCCCCTTATTAATCAGAATCTTGACCTAGATAGATTGACATGCTCTGCTGTGCTGCTGACGAGGAATTTCATCTTTTGTGTTTTAGTGCTTCACTGGTTCTTTCTTCTTGAATTGAATGACATCATCTGGCATATCTGTTATCAATAACATCCCTACTCCTGTCACCCTCCATGTGATTCCTAGGTACTCCTGAGTCACTGGGGAGATACAGGATTGTTTTGATTTGTTACTTGCCTCAATTTGTTCATAGAGACAGAACAGCAAAACCAGAAACAGTGTAGCAGCCAATTGCTGCCCAATAAAAAATACTAGTAAGAGACAGTACACTGTTACCTCATTTCGCCTATGCTGGTGAAGCTTAAGCAGGAATGAATGTTTGCCTGTGGTTTCCCTGGAAACGACACCTTGCTGTGAAAGATATGTGTTAAAAATCATTTGCCATGGAGGTGTAGCCAGAAGGCGTGATGTAGAGACACACTGTTTTAGAGGAAACAGACTTAAGCTGGCTTTGTGATTAGACCTCACTTTCTGAGGCAGTGTCATTTTAAGAAAGTGTTAAGGAAGAATTCATCTTACCTGGAGCTAATTTAAAACTGTAACAGATTTTATAAATCTGGTGTCTTAGTTAGGGTTTCTGTTGCTGCGATAAAACACCATGACCAAAAGCAACTTGGTGAGAAAAGGGTTTATTTGACTTACAGTTTGTATCACAGCCCTTCACTGAGGGAAGTCAGGACAGGAACTCAAGCAGGGCAGGAACCTGGAGGCAGGAGCTTATGAGAGGCCATGGAGGGTGCTGCTTGCTTACTTCATCCCTATGGCTTGCTCAGCCTGTTACTTGTCCGTCCCCAGACCATCTTCCCAGGGATGGCACCCACCACCCTGGGCTGGGCCCTTCTACATCTATCACTAATGAAGAAAATGCACTGCAGACTTGCTCACAGGCCAACCTGGTGGGAGCATTTTCTTAGTTGGCGTTCCCTCTTCCAAAATGACTCTAGCTTGTGTCAGGTTGACATAAAACTAGCCAGTGCTTCTGGTTAGGCATACAATTCGATTTAGCTTCCCTGGGATTACAGGTACATACTGTCATAGCCAGCTAACTTTCATAGTGTGATGGGTGGCAGGGGAGTGGGCATCCTCACATTGTTAGGATGAGTCTGAATAGTCCCCTTTGAACAGGATTTTGGAGGAAGGAAATTAAAAAACAAGCATGTCCAACTGGGCATGGTAAAGCACGCCTTTAATCCCAGTACTTGGAAGACAGGCAGGTGGATCTCTGGGAATTGGAAGCCAGCTTGGTCCACACAGTGAGAGAGTGTCACAAACAAACAAACAAACAAACAAACAAAACCACCCAGGAAACTTAACAATGACAGCAAAAACTATGGAGCTGCCAGGTGTGGTGGTGCATGCTTTTAATCCCTGCACAGAGCTGAGTCTGAATAATCAGTTCCTTTTTATAGCTAAAAATACTGAAAAAACTTGAGAGTTTTAGACTATTTTAAAAAAGTAAGAAGTTGTATAAATAAACTACGTACATGAAATGGGAGATATATCCCCCTGTGAATATACCACCAACAGTTCAACCTGCCATTTGTGCATAAGATCTTGCAGGAAACACAGTCATGCTACTTAAAATTGCTTGAGGGCAAGTGGACACAGTGGCTTTGGAAATACTTCTTCTTTGTTTTCTTACTTTAACACTTAGCTCACATGTCAGTTCTGCACTGAAGTTTCCGTGTATAGTGTTGCATGTACATGCAGTAGCAGTGATCAGATTACTGAAATCATACATGTGTGTTTCTTTAGTGTTCACTTGCCATTTTACACTAAGGATATATATTTTCTGTCTTTGTTTAGGTTAGTATAACAAAAATACTGTAGATGCTTGCTTCTCATAGTTCTGGAGCCTGGGAGTCCAAGACCAGGGCACCAGTGCCAGGTGAGGCTCCACGTCTTAGTTTTTGGTCAGCATTCTTCCTGCTGTGTTAGACAGCAGGAAAGAGTCCGACAGTCCTCTATGGTCTTTTAATGAGGAATGAGATTGTCCTTAAAACTGAATTACTGAACAAAAAACCCACCTCCTAATACTGTTTTGTTGGGGATTTAGGATTTGAGCATGTGAGTCTGGAGTATCCAAATCACTTTTCTTTCTTTCTTTCTTTTCTTTTTTTTTTTTGAGACAGACTCTTAAGAATCTTACTAAGTAGCGTTGGCTGTCCTTGGATACCCCTCTCCCCCAAACCAAGGATGCTAGATAAAATATTATACATTTTTACCACCAGACCAAATAAATGCTTAATAAAATAACTGAATGATAGTTTTATAGTCTGGTAAAATAACGGTACGGTGACTATATATTACAAAACATTCTACCGACATACTGAAATTAGGAAGAGGTCAAGATGGTTGTGCTAAATCGTGTTTAACAGTGTGGCAGTTTGGATGTAATTGGCCCCCATAATCCCATAGGGAGTGGCACTATTAGGAGCTGTGGCTTTGTTGAAGTGGGTATGGCCTTGTTGGAGGAAGTGTGTCACTGGGGAGGTTTCCTATGCTCAGGATGCTGCCCATTGAGTCAGTCAATTTCCTGTTGCCTGCTAGATATAGGTCTCTTAGCTACTCTAGCACAATGTTCCCCACCATGATGATAATGGACTGGACCTCTGAAACTGTAAGCAAGCCACCCCAATTAAATGTTTTCCTTATAAGAGTTGCCGTGATCATGGCATCTCTTCACAGCAATAGAAACTCTAACTAAGGCAGACAGCAATCTTGAAGTTTTATCTATTTATTCCAACTAGAGAAGGGAATAGAATAAATAATATCAGTAATGGAAAGGATGGGACTCAATTTTCATTACTGCAGAAACTAATATACAAATGTCATTAAGTTAAATTCCCTTAAATGTATCAATTTAGCATATCTATGCTGGGAATCCTCTGGTAACTCTGGAGAGACTTACGGTAGGTAGATCATGAAACATGCATTTTAATCCACTGGTGGTTTCTATCTGTCCTACCAGGACTTGGGAGACAGTGACAGAATTAAAGTTCAAGGCCAGTCTGATCAAGGAAAACAGAATAGAATCTAGAGATAATGCAGTGTTAAGTATTTGATGAATATTTTGAGATAATGACCATCATTTAGAAAATACCTGGTTATGTAAAATTAAGTTCTAGATGAGGTAAAGAACTACCTAAAAAGAGACATTAGAAGAAAATGTAAACAAAAACTTCATTAAATATAATCTTTGACATGAAAGACTCGTTGCTATAGCAAGAACATTAATAAATTAAATATGTATATTAGAGGATATAAACAAAGATATAGTGATAACCTGGGGCATAGATTTTTTTAGCATGTACCTTGACCTTATAGACTTGTTTCTAAAGTCCTAAGAGGCTAGAGGGGCTTGATCCTACTTTATCTTTTTCATTTATTCCCTTACTCAGTGATTATTTAGCCCTTAGTGTGTGCTTGATCTTGTAGATCAAGTGGAGATAAATTTTTAGTCTGTGTTCTTCTGAGGCCCCCAGATTTGAACTGGAGAGTTGGTTCTGCAGTTAAGAGTGCTTCCTGTACTCTCACTTCATTCAGCACATGGAAGAGTGATATGCCTTTCGATCACTGGCTTCTCAGCCTTGGTAAATGACAACAGTAAAATAACGTTTATGATATTAATCATTACAATTTTTCTGTTTGATTTCTGAACATGATTCTATAAACCCCACCAAAATTAAAACTAAAATTTTGATTGAGTACTATATATTTTCTGTTTGTGTTGAGTTCCATTGTTGTTCAAACATGAATTTTCTGTTGGTAATGGAATTATATCTTCACTTGACTTGCTAGATTTTGTGCTTTGCTGGCCCTTTCCTTTGATAGATGAGCGAGGACATCTGTTGGACAAGCAGTAAATTACATGCCATACTTGGTTAGTGCTTTGGTCTTGAACAGTTGGAGTTGTAACAAACTTTGCAGATGATTGCTATACAGCAAACTTCGAGAGCTAATCTATGATTCTCAGTGTTTTGGCAGAGGAGATTGAAATTAGATAGTTGGCTACGGAATTTTAAGAAAATTTTATTCAATTTTATTTTATTATCCAAAGTGTTGCAGCTCAACAATATATTTCAGATCTCTTTGCCTCTTTTTTTTTTTTTTTTTTTTTTTTTAAAGATGAGGTCTGGCTATTTAGCCTAGGCTGGCCTGGGACTTTTTATGTAGACTAGGCTAGCCTTCAGCTCTTTGTGATCCATCTGTTTCTGCCTCCCCAGTGTAGGGATTACAGTTGTGTTCAGTCATACCAGGCTACATGTTCTTATAATGAGTTAAACATTCTGTTTGGCTGGGTTTTTTTGTTTGTTTGTTTGTTTTGTTTCCTATAACGTTTTAATCCAAATCTTGTTAGTACAGATTTTCACCTCTTAGGGTTTATAAAAATGTTTGAGGTTAAAAGTGATAATATTTGTATAGATTCTAGGCTGTGAATTCAGAATTTTTATTTAGCATATTTGAGAAGTACCTGTGAGCTTTTTGGCAGTTGGAAGTTACAAGACTAAGAAAGCAATAGAGATGTATAGAGAAAGAAACAGACATTGGACTGGGGATGTAGCTTAGTTGATTTAATTTCAGCACTGCATAAACCATGGGAAGGTGGAGTCAGGAGGATCAGTAATCCAAAGGTCAGTTGTGTCTACATAGGGAGTTCTAGGCTATCCTGGTCTGTATGAGATCTTGTCTCATAGAGGAAGATAAAAGAAGCAACAACAGATAGTGAATAGGAGTTAGAATGAAAAATAATCCCAATATTAATATGTTTGATCTTTTGTTCTGATTTTGGAAAATGAGAACAATTACATACCTTGTTTATTTAGATATTTCCTCTTGTTTTTTTCAAAAATTTATTTCTTTTTACTTTATGTACATTGGCATTTTGCCTACCTATATGT